AGAAGGAGAAAGGAGAGATTGCACAGCAGAGGTCTTGTTGAAGTTATGTCTGGAAGGAAATGAAGTATGTACCAGGCAGACAAGAGAAAGGTAGATAAGCTTATTCCAGGAAGGAAGCCTGGATGTCCAAAGGAAGGAGGCATGAAAAGACAGAGTGCACCAGGAGTATTTCTATCCATGGCTCTACAAAGCTTATATCTCTATGAAGTATAGTATGTCTTTCTGTCTATGAGATAGGAAAGGCCAAACAGTACCAGAGAAGACACTGTACCTGGAACAGGAAGGATTGATCTGATTGGCTCTGGAAATCACATCTAATAATCATGGGAAGACAGATCCAACGGCATCATTTGAGGTCTCATGAAGAATAAATTAGCAGTCCATTTGTAATTCACCATGTTTATGTGTCAGGTGCTGTCTGAGCACAGCCGTCCTCTCCTTGGAGGCGGAGCCTGGGGGCGATACCACTAATTGCAAGGAGGAAACAGGAGCCAAATACTTTACTGCCTTGGTTGGAAAGGGGGTTGCAGAGGAGGGGTGGGAATGAGATAAGGTGCAAGAGAGGAGTATGAGGGGGCTGTGTCTAGTGCTTCCTGTAAGCTGTGTCCTCACTGTCTGTGCAGCACAGTCTCCTCTTGCTACAAAGGTGGTGTTGACCACATCTGTGCTGTGTGGTCCCTTATGTGACTGTCTGAGAAACTGCAATTCAACTTGCTGCTTATGGGTCGGAGCCCTGTCATGTAGCATAGATAATGACGGGAAGGTTGGGGCAGAGTTAGCTCAGGGAGCTCAGACTCCTTTGGTGTGGCCATTTAGCACTGTTCCTCAAAGGGCTAGAAGGAGGGTGCTGTGCTTCTGTGCTCTTGAGCAGTTCTGGGAATGTGACCATGCTGGATGTTTACGAAGTGTCCATGTCAGTGCCACTCCTTCTTCTGTCAGGCAAAGCAACTACAACTGGCCTGGGCCCTGGTGCCTGGGCCCTCTGGAAGGTCAGATACTCAGCTGTTTTTAGCACCTGTAATGCAGCATCCCTGGAGCCAGCAGAGCTGTCATCTGCCTGCCTCAGAGCTGGTGTTTTGGTCACCTAGGCTGCAAACATCAGGGATAACATGGTCCTTCTCTCTTTTCCCATAGCCGCTTCTGACCCCTCCATCCTGCTGTCCCACTTCCCATGATCTTGATAAACCCTTTCTGAGTGTCCATTTATGTCTAGCCAGTGCAAAAGCCCCTAGCTATCCTGAGGATCTTAGTTGTCTATCTTAATGGTATTGCATGCTTCTTCATCCTTTCCCCTTCCTGGAACATCCTCCTTTTTGATCTGCATAGAAAATGCCTCATTCTTCAAGACCCAGCTCAGAGGGGAAGCTTTCCTGGGTCTACTGACAAAGCTTTGGGCTGACTGCACACACCCCTGGCATGCCATGAGGCCCTTGCATTACCCTGCCATTCTCGTTTACAGATCACCCCCTGCCAGTCTACTGTTTCATCCCTGCATCTCCAGCTTCAGGTATAGGACAATGCTTGGTACACAGGATAAGCGCTTGGCAAATGTTGAGTGAACGAATAAACATGTGAAGCAAAAGGTGGTCCAGTGCCTGAATTTAGATGTGTTACTAAACTGCTTATTCAAATACCTTCATTTGTACATTCATAAGCATGCACTTTTGTAGCTGATGTGCTTGGCATACACAGCCTGTTTTTCATAGATGCAAGAGCATAGTAGTAGAAAATGTACAGATTCTGGAGTGAGACTGCCCAGTTCAAGACCTGGATCACTTACCAGCTGGCTGACCTAGTCAGCTGACTCTTGGAACCTCAGGTCATTCAACTGTAAAAAGTAGCAGTAGTAAACATCTCAGAAGGCTGTTGTGAAAGCTGTAACATGCAGCTAACAGTGCTTTGTGGCCATGACGCTATCACTAATATTATTCTATGGGTATTTATTGGCACCTCCTCCATCAGCACTGCTCTAGCACTTTAGAGCAGGGTTTCTCAATAGCAGCACCACTGACATTTTGCCTGGGTAATTACCTTCTTCATGGTGGGAGCTATAGGGTGACTAGGTGACTTGACTTCTGTCTGCTAGATGCCAGTAGCACTGTACTCTCCATCAGTTGTGACAATCTGCATGTCTGCAGATTTGGCCAAACATCCCAGGTGGAGAAAGAACCATCCCTGTGGACAGTTTCTGCTTCCAGGAGCTTCCCTCTCAATCACGATTCTCTGTTCTCTTCATAGTCTTGGCTTACAAAGGAGGAAACTGAGGCATAGGTGACAAACTGCTCAATTCAAAATGCTTTTGTAAGAAAGGAATGCTTTCTAAATAAAATTTCTCAAGGGTTCAGAAGAGAGAGATTGATAAGGAAGGAGTCACAGGGTGAGCACAAGGAGAGCTCCCGTTCACCTTTGCCTTGAGCACAAGGAGAGCTCCCGTTCACCTCTGCCTTTGTCCCTGGCCTCTCGTGCCCTGGGAGAGGTGCAGTGGAAGTCCTGATTGCTAGCTTTCCTTCATCTCATTACTTGCCTGCATTGAGTTGTTGTCCTGGTAAGTCAGACGCCATCTGATCTCTTAGGAAACATTTCAGCTGGGTGTGTAGTGTGGGTCTGTGACTGCAGTTACTCAGGGGGTGGAGGAAAGAGAACTGAGGTTCAGGACCAGGCCAGGCAAAGTTATTGAGAGACCCTGTCTCAAAGCAAAAACAAACCAAACCAAATGCAATCCAGACTTGTGATATGGTTCAAGCAGTAGACCACCTGCCTAGCAAGCCTGATGCCCTGAGTTAGTGAAATCATGCCATTGAAATGGGAACCAGGGACATGGGGTTGAGCATGTTCTGCCCAGCACCCTCACTCTGCACATGGGCAAAATGAGAGGCATAGATGTGAAAGGACTTGCCGAGAATCACTCAAAAGATACACGTCAAATGCAAGACGCAGCTTTCACTGTCCTCTGAGCCCACACCCCACTCCTGCTAACTTTCGCATCCTGGTTTCCTGGGAGAGTCCTCTCTGCTCACTGTCTCTGTGTCTTCCATCCACCCTTGAACTCACCACCCCCCATCTGAACATGGAGTGAAGTAGGCAGGAGAAAACCAAATCATACCAAGAGCATGTGCCAGTTTGACAGCCCATGAGGAAGGTGTCAGGGAGCACTCCTTTCCTCCTCTAAGGCGGTTTTGTATTTTTGGCATTTTATTTATTGAACAAATATTTATTTGGCACAACTATGTGCTGACTTAAGGCGTATATAAGATTTTCAATTTCCCAGAAGCACAGTCTAGGATTTTCAATTAAATTTACATATGTCTGTTACATGTCTCTTTTATTTCCACGTGAGTAATCAGGAAAACACATTAGATAGATTTTTAAAAATTAAAGTTAACAGAGTGTTGTAAACTTTGAGAGAAGCAATTATTTTAAATTATATTAGTAATCAGTAGCAACAACTCTGAATACCACCTCCATCGTCTTTCAACAAGTGTTCTATTACTCCAGTTGATAGTTTTAACTACATTCTATTAGACTTTTAAGTCTGGTAACTAGGCATTTTGCACATCAACAAATTAGAATATAAAACTCCACAGAACAAAAAGAAAACTACTCCCAAACAAACAGCTCTGCAGGACCCACTTTGAGATGTAACTAAGAACAGACATTTCACATTGCAGCATTGATATACAAGAATGTCATGAAACAAGCATTTTCCCCAAGTCTGTCTTCATGCAAAATTCACCAGAAAAAAAAAGGAGAAAAAACAAAAACAAAAAACCTCACAAAACCCATCGAAACTCTTAGTAACTAGAACTTTCAAATATTTGTCTATAAGTACTTAAAATGTATTTCAAAATACTCACTTGGTGGTTGGGGAAACAGCTCAGTGGCAGACCTTGCTTAGTATGCCAGAGGCCCTGGGTTTGGATTCCCAGCTCTGTCAATAAATAAAATAAAAATGCGATGGGGTAAAGCTGCATAGCTAGAGCTAGAAGAATATGAACAAACAAGAAAATTTAAATGGTTCAAAAAGCCCTCCTTGTGTGAAAAGGTGAGAACTTTTCATCTTTTGGGTAGAAATTAATACTTTACTGTTGAACTCAGCACAAGAGGACTAAGACAGAAGGGAAGAAAAATGGAGGGGATGAACCAGTTCAGGATACAATACACATATGCATGGAAATGTCATAATGAAACTCTCTGTGTAGAGATCTTAAACAAAAGTGTCTTTTTTTCTCTCAAAAAAACCAAAGAGGTGGGTGCCCATGGCTCACGCCTGTAGTCTTATCTACTCAGGAGGCAGAGATCAGGAGAATTGCAGTTCGAAGCCAGCCTGGGCAAATAGTTCAGAGACCCTATCTCTAAAAAAACCGTTAACAAAAAAAGGGCTGGTGGAGTGGCTCTGGGTGGAGGTCCTGGGTTCAAAACCCCAGTACCACAAAACAAAATAAAATGGAGGACAGGAATGTAAATCAGGTCCTGTCTGGGGGTTGGTACTAATGGGAGGGGGAGGATATAGGGAAAGAGTTGTAGGAGGGTGAATATGGTGCAAATAATATGTACTCATGTATGAAGATGGACAAATGAGACCTGTTGAACCTGTTCTAAGAATGGGGGGAAGAGGGTAAAGAAAAATGGTGGAGGGGGTGAATTTAAGATATGTTGTAAGCACTTTTGTAAATGTAACAGGGTACCCCCAGTACAACACTAATACAATACAAAAATTTAAAAATAGGTATGAAAATAACTATTAAATAAATTATTGTATATATTAACATAGCTGAAATAAAATACATTTTATACTCAAAAAATTTTAATACTTCACAAATTTCCCTCCAAGGAGCGCTCGGAGACCTTGTTGCTAGTCCTTTTAAGTTAATAGAAAAGCGCCGGAACAGAATATGAAATGTTTCAGCGTGTAGTCCCCCCCGCGGCTTCCGCAAAGGGCACACAGCCCGTATGTGAATACACACTGGTGGTGTCCGTGGTCGAGGAGCACTGACAACTGCGGTGTTCATTGTGTGTGTGCAGCATTATCACAAGCCCACACTCCATGGCTCCTAGTAGCACAGAGGACCCTTACCTCCAGCGCCCTCCCCTTTCAAGTGTGCAAATCCACGTGAAAGATCACAAATGCTGCATCTGCTTCTGATCTGGTATAGGGACTCGCCACCCTGGAGGATGTTGGAGTGGCACCCGGCAAGGGAGGGCTCATGGTGATGCTTAGCGTGGCAACTCCCAGATGCACCTTAGGAGCCAGGCATCCTTTTGAGGACTGCCTCAGTGCCGCTGCACACCAAATACCTAAGCTGACGTTCTGTGGACTGAGCAACAGTGGGGCTGCGCGCTAATAACCCAGTGGAGCATCCTTACCCTCTGGACTGGTGCGCCCTGTGTGGATGTGCCCTGGGCACCTGGGCATCGCACAGATGTCCTTATCCTATGAACCATCAATCCCGTGCAGCTGCATACTGATGATGACTTGGGCGGATATCTTTGCGCTATGGATGGTGCCACACGGAAGGCAGGAGCTGATGACCCAGTGGAGCGTCCTTACCCTGGGGATGGCTGCCCTTTTGTACCCAAGCACCGAGGCTTGGGCTGAAGTTCTTTTGCCATAGGCTGCCATAGAGGGCGTCCTTACCCTGCGGACAGCCGTACTGCCGCGCCTGCGCACTAAGAACTGGGCGGTCTTTCTAATTGCAGATTGCGTCACAGCCACTTCTGCACAACAAGGACGTGAGCAGACATTTCTGTCTTGCAGACTGCGGCAAGACTGGGAGCTGGACAGATGTCCTTACCTTGTGGACTGGAGCACATTGGAGTCGTGTGCTGCTGCGACCACGCACCGAGGGTCTGGGCGAATACCCTTACTGTGGGTACGGTAGCCCATCGGTGCTAGGAAGTGATATTCCGGAACGACCTTGCCCTGTGGACCACCGCACTGTTGCGGCTCGCACAGATCTAGGAGGACGCCTTTACCCCGAAGATGGTGGTACAGTGTGGCGGCGCAGTGATAACAGCCAAGTGTTTTTGACGTGTGGAGCATTGCAGTGGGCGGCCATGCTCCCAGGACCTTGGAATTTGTACAGCGGAGCTGCGAAGTGATAACCGCAGTGGAATGTATGCTCTCAACAGGTGCATTGCCGTGGCAGACACTAAGGATCTGAACGGATTTTCCCCTGCAGACTGTGTATGGTCTCGTGTGCTCTGCACACCTAGGAGCTGGGCGGGTGTTTTCACCCTGAAGACTGCTGCACGGCTGGGAGCTGGGCGGACATCTTTATCCTGGAGTCAGTAACGCATCGTCTGGTGTCCTTGCCCTGGAGGTAGCTGCATTGCGGTGGTTGCGCAGTAAGAACCTGGGCGGGCTTTCTAACCCTTCAGGCGGCGTCACAACTCCACCCGCGCATCTAGGACCTGGCGAGCATTTTTATTCTGCACGACTGGGAGCTGGGCAGTCATTACCGTGTGGATAACAGCATGTTTGTGGCTGCGCACTACGGTCTTGGGTGGGCCTTTTAATCCTGGAAATGGTGGCACCATGGTAATACACTGACATTCAATTAGAGCGTCTTTAGCAGAGAGCTGCATTTCTGCGCATGCGCACTCTGGCCTTAGGGAGCTGTCCTTACCGTGAGGAGACGGCACAGCACAGCCTGCAATAATGACTCAGGAGAGAGTCCTTATCCTGTGGATACCGCATTGCAGCGACTGCACACTAAGGATCTGGACGGATGTCGTTCTGGGGACCGTGATAAAGCAGTGTTCTTACCCTGTGGATGGCCGCATTGCGGCGGCTGCGCACTAACGCTAAGGATCTGACCGGTCTTCTTATTCTGGGGTTCTAGTTAAAGTGGAACGTCCTTAACCTGTGGATAGCCACATTGTGGCGGCTGTGCATTAAGGATGGGGGCGGACCTCTTTTATTGTGAGTTTCATGGTACAGCAGAATGTCTTTAACTCATGGATAATCGCATTTCGGCGGCCACGCACTAAGCATCTGGGCGGGTCTCCTTATTCTGGGGATCGCTCAGAGCGGTCTTAACCCTGCGGATAGGCGCATTGCCGTTGCTGTGTACTAAAGCTCTGAGTGGAGCTTCTTCTGGGGTTCATGGCACAGCGGAATGTCCTTAACCTGTGGATAGCCGTATTGTGGCGGCTGTGCACTAAGGATATGGGCAGATCTCTTTATTCTGGGGTCTGTGGTACAGTGGCTCATTCTTCACCTTGTGGATAGCTGCATTGCGATGGCTGCGCACTAAGGTTCCGCGCAAGTCTCCTTATTCTGAGCATTGTGGTACAGTGGAGCGTTCTTACCTTGTGGCATAGCCGCATTGCAGCAGCTGAGCACTAAAGATCAGGGTGGATCTTTTTATTTGGGGCATCGTCCTACAGCGGAAGTCCTTACCCTGTTTTACTTGCACTGCTGTGGCTCCTCACTAAGCAACTGGGTGGATATCTTTATCTGGGGACTTTGGTACAGCATAGCGTCCTTACTAGATGGATGACTTGTCATGGTTGCACACTGAGCATCTGGATGGATGTCCTTATCCTGGGGATAATGGTACAACAGTGTTCTTACTCTGAGGACAGCTGCATTGCCCCTATTGCGTGCTAAGATCCGGCAGGCATTCAGACTGCGTCACAGCTGCAACCGGCACCCGAGGACCTGGACAGGCGTTTTTACTTTGCAAACTGCAGCATGACTAGAAGCTGCATGGATGTCCTTACCCTGCAGACATTGGCACAGTGGAACCTTGCACTGGTAGCCCGGCAGAGCGGCCTTACCCTGAGGACAGCTGTATTCCCGTGGCTGCTCAGTAAGGGATCTGTCGAGTTTACTAATCCTCCAAACTGTGACACGGAGGCATTTGCATATGAGGATGGGGCAGGTATATTGACTTTGCGGACTGTGGCACACACAGCTAGTGGCCGGGTGGACGTCCTTATCTAGTTGGGCGTGGCATAGCAGAGCCGTACACTGAGAACCCAGCGGAATGTTCTTACCCTGTTGATAGCTGCACTTGGGCGGCTACTTACTAAGCACCAGGGCGGGCTTTGTAATTCTGCAGACTGCATCATGGGTGCACCAGCAAATCCAAGATTTGGGCTGACATTCTGCACTCCAGATGGTGACACTGCGCAGCCATGCACCGATGTCCTTATCCTTATCCTGTGAACTGCTACACTGGCACTGTTTCCGAGGATCTGGTTGAAAGTTCTTTTTCTGGGGATGATTGTTCAGCAGAGCAGCACACTGATAAGTCAGCTGAGTGCCTTTACCCTGTGGAACCGAGGACCTGGCTAGATGTCTAGTCGGGTTGCTGTTCTCTGCAGATGGTGGCACTGCTTCCCTAGGCACCAAAGACCTGGAAACATTTTTACCCTATGGACTGTGGCAGGGCTAGGACAGGTCCTGTCCATGCTGCCCTGCAGAGGGAAGCACAGCAGAGCTGTAGCTCTGATAGTCCAGCTGGTTGTTGTTACCTTGTGGATGGCTCTGCCAGGCACTGTGAACTTGTGCAATGTCCTTAACCTGAGGATGGTAACACAGTGGAGCTACACGCTAATAACGCAGTGGGGTGTCGTCGTTCTGGGGAAAGCTGTGGCTGCCTAGGAGTGCCTTGGTAGCTGTAGAACAGAGCTCCATACAGATAAGTCAGCTGGGTGTCCTTCCAATGCCTACGTTTGTCCACACATCAAATTGTCTGGGCAGATGTCTGCTGGACATTGTGGTACAGCAGAGCTGTGGGCTGAAAAGACAGATGCCTGTCCTCACCCTGTGGACTTCCACAGTGATGCTGCAGCTGTAAGAATCTAGCTGGGTGTCCTTACCAAGTGAGACTGGCATGCCTTTGGCTGTGTACTAAAGTTTTGGGCAGGCTTTGTAACCCGTGGACTGCATCACAGCTGCACAGATTACCTGGGCTGGCATCCTGACCCTGAGAACCATGGATCAGCAGGGATCCAACATGACTCCAAGCCATGACCTGAGGACGTGGGCAGACTTGAACACCTCACCTCTGGAGAATTCCAAAGGCCTTTTCTTGTTGGTTCAGGCTTCCAGAGGCAACTGTTATGTGGCTGTGAGGCACTATGGGTGGAGTTACAGTACCCATTGTTCTTGGTTTCTCAGTGTGAGAATTGCCTGGTTCTCTTCTCTCTGTTCTACCTTTGCCAGTGATCTCATGGCTTTCAGTACCGGATGAAGGACCTTCTGCAACTCTTGAACTCCAGGGTCTTGGATCTACTGCTTGCTCTGCTGGGTGCACCCCTGCTCCTTGTGCCTGCTGTGCATCCTGCTCATAGTAAATTTAGAAATGGACTCAGCATGTACTCCAGACCTGCTCTACCCACTTTTCCCAGTCTCTGTGGATGGCAACTCCATCTTTCCAGTGGCTCAAGCCAGATACCTTGGAGCCATTCTTAACTTTTTTCTTTAAACTCCATAGCTAACCCTGCAGCTACTTTGGGTTTATGTCACTAATGGTTCACCATTAGCACTCACTATAATTTCCTAATAAGTTTCCAGCTTTTCTCCATGCACTCTGCTCTGTTTTCAGCCTGAAGCAAAAGCAATACTGTTCATACCAAAGTGAGGCATGCCACTTCTCTGCAGTGGCTTTCTAGCTGCTCATAGTAAAATCCAGTCTTCTTCAGTGACCTGACAAGCTATGCAGGACCTGTCCCCTGCCCTCTACCCCACTACCCTGCCTCTTTCCTTCTCTCCTTTTTCCCTCCTTTTGGCCTTTGGTTGCAGCCCACCTTAGATGAACAAGTGGAGAGAACATGTGGGCACATTTCCCTTATTGTCTGTGTAGAGCCTGTTTCTTCCTCCTGAAATGCTCTTCCCCCAGATCCACAAGGCTACTTCCTTACCTTCCACAGGTCTTTGCTGAGCTATAACGTTGTCAGTAAAGCAAAGCATATAATGAGGCCCCTCCCTTGTCTCCCAGCATGCCCTTCTCATCTCCTCTGCTTTTCATTCTCTTATACCATGTCATATACTTACTTATGTCTGTTGCTTGCTGTCTTTCTCACCTTGTTGGCAGGTAAGCTTCTTGAGGATGTGGTCTTTATTTTGTTTATTTATATATTCTAAGTGCCTGGTACGTTGTACCTGCAATAAATAAACTTTATAAGTATTCTTCCTAATGAGTGTGGGGAAGTTTTTTGGTGGTGGTTTTTCCTTCATGGCACACACAAGATGGGGAAGTTTCTTAAGTCCTGTCTGCAGGCCTAAAGCCCACACTGAGCTTATGAGGGGCAGGACTTCCTTCTTTTACTTCTCTCCCTCCCTCTGTCTCATTCACTCCCCTCTCTTTGGGAACCACTGCCTGATTAACATACAGCTCTTAATTATTTAATTGATTCAGAATTATAGATTTCTGGCCAGTTTCACAAGGAGGTGGTGGGAGAGCTACACTCTAGTGATGAGAGATTAGCTCTTTTCCACCCCAGCCCAGAGAAGATCCTCCCATGTTAGCCATGCATTTGTCAGGTGGATGTTTTGAGATTCTCACCATGATGGGCCCATTTACTTGGCTACATTAGCTCCTAGGAGCAGCCAGCTATTATGTTGAAGATCTGCTTGAGCCTCTAGCAGACAGCTGTAGGTAGATTGCATGTCTGGGCTCAGAGCTCAGGGCAACCTCGTTGCCTCTGTTGCATGATGTGTGGTTATGACAGACGCTGTGGTTTGGAGTTGAAGAGACCCGGTGTTGTGGCATGACACTGGTGTGGGCTTCTGGTGGTCCGATTCTAAGCTGACTTGCTCTACTCTGTGGATTCACCATTCTAGTAAAGTGCATATGGATGGGTTCAGGTATCTGCTGTAAGTGAGAAAAGGTGCTAGATATAATTTGCATCCTCATGTGATGTCATCTTAATAGAGAGCCAGACAGGTAGACACGTGATCCCTGCTTTGTGAGAGAAGGAACTGAGAGTCAGAAAATGAAGGAAGCTACTTAGCCCTGTCCTGGGCTTCAGCTTTGGAGTACAGGCTTTGTCCAGATTGCTGCATAGCCAGCCTAGGCTCAGTGCTTGAACAGATAGGAGTGCTTATAGGCAGTCCCTGTTCTTCATACCTTCCCTTCCCACATGTACCTGTTGGGCCACTGGTAGTCACCAGGCGTGTTGACTACAGGGGATGAAAGTGGAAAGAGAAGCTGTCACAGTACCCATGTAGTTGGTGTTCAAGCACAGGGCATTTCACTTCTAACCTGTCCTTTGGTTGTGTTTGATCCTGGGTGGAGGGTGGAAAGGGAGCTTTGAGGGGGTACTGGGTTTGAAGTACAAAGTGACCTGCTCATATCTCTGCCACACA